TCTGGCGCAGGTGTGGGGCTCCTCCCTCAGACCAGAAGCACCTCCAGAGTTTTCCTTCACTTATCAGTTCTGTTGACACAGTGATCAAAGGCTTGACATACAGCAAAAATTGAGTCAAGTTCTGGGGATGCAGAAACAACTAAGTATGATCTGTCATCAAAAAAGGTACAATCTAGTTGAAAAGTTAGATAATAAATCATTTCAATTGAATGTGACAAGTGTTATCATGTAAGAATGAGAGAGGCTGAGAGAACCAAGATGGGAGGGATGCCTTGATGGAAAGATGGTGAGGAGAATGACCCCAAGGGACGCTTAAAAGAAATTGAAGCTATCCTCCATCTCACTGCATAATATATATTTACTGTGGACACTGTGGAAAATTCAGGAGAGAGCAAAAATTCACCCATAATTTTACCATGCAGAATCATGCACTACTAACATTTACATGATTTCCCTTCAGCTTTTTTCTGTGCACATTTTCATGTAATTGAGGTAATTTTGTATATATCACATCCTGTTTGTAACTTATTTTCCATTGAATTACATAATTTTCATATGCATCATTTAAAAGCTACACAAGTTTTAAAATATTGTATGTTTCTATTTACAAATGTCACATATATTCATTTATATATCTTTTAAAAGATTTTTTTATTTATTTGAGAGAGCGAGCGAGCGAGCATGAGAGGGGGGGAAGAGGCAGAGGGAGAAGCAGACTCCCCACTGAGCAGGGAGCCCAATATGGGGCTCGATTCCAGGACCCTGAGATCATGACCTGAGCTGAAGGCAAACACTTAACTGACCGAGCCATCCAGGTGCCCCCATTTATAAATTCTTAGTCTTTTTTGTATTCAGACATGTTCACAAATACATGAATATAGATCTTTACTTTCTTTACTATATTGGGTTCATATGATCCTTACTGTTTTGTGGTATTTCTCCCATTTAATAGTAGCATGAACACTCTTGATGTATAATGTTAATTTTTTTATTGTAAAATAGAGTATAAAGAGTTTATAAAATAAATGTACATTTTAAGAAAAATAACAAAACACACACCTAGCTACCCTCTGCCCAGGCTAAGAAACAGAAGATCACTATAAATCTAGAAGTCTTGTAGATGTTCTTTCCAAATACTTCAAATCCTCACCAAATAGTCACGATTGTGAATTTCAGGTTAAAGCACTTGCACATTTATAAAGAAACAAATTATCCCTAAATAATATATTAGTCCTGCCTTCTTTTGAACATTAAATGGAATACACACACACACACATCTGTGATTGGCGTCTGTTATGCAACATTATGATTTTGAGGTTCATGCAAGTTGAAGTGTGAAAATGTAATGAGTGCCCTTAGCGATCTTTAACAGTAGTCTGTAGACCTGTCCTGTAAAGGACCAGGTGGTAAACACGTCAGTCTTGCGGGCTGGCCTTACAATTTCTGTTGGACTACTCAGCCTCACTGTCGCAGTGTGAACGCAATCCACACAACATGTATATAGTGGGTGTGACTGTGTCCCAATAAAGCTTTATTTACAAACAGACTGCTGGTCCATGGACTGTAGTTTGCCCACCCATGGTCTATAATTAAATCATTCGATGCTCTGTAATATATTGTCGGTTTACTTCAATTTATCCTTTCTGCTTTTGAAGAATATTTGTTCATTTCAGCACTTTTTTCCCCCCTATTATAAGCAAAGCTGTTTTAACTTTGTGTGTCTCTGTAGTTGTTCTGGATTAAATTCTAATGGCTCATCGGACCCGTTCATTTTCAACTTGAACAGGTAATGTCAAACTGTTTTCCAAAATGATTGTATCAATTTACACTCCTCAGGAGCTTCCCCGGCTCTTTATCTGTGATAGCTTTGATTTTCTGCAGTCTGATGGGTGTGAAACTGTGGCCTGTGGTCTTGTTTTCCCCTGGCTACTAATGATGTTAAAAATCTGTTCACATGACATCTGTGCTTCCCCTAATATGAAATTCCTACACACTTTTAAAATCTATCATTAAGCTGATCTTTTTTTTTCTTTTTATGTTTAAAGCTCTAAATACCCTAGATACTAGTGCTCTACCTGTTGTTTTTGTTGTATATATCTTTACTTGTTTCTTTTTTTGGAATTTATTTTGAAAAATGGAAGTTAATGTTTATGTACCAGAATATCATTATTTTCTGTATCTTTTACTACCCCAAGCTTTATAAATATTCTCATATATTATCTTCCTAAACATTTCATAAAGTGTTTTGTTCCTTCTTAGGTTTTTAATACACTTGAAATTAAATGTTTTTATGGTGCAATCTGATTTCACTTTTCCCCATACAGGTACCAACTATTCCATCATTAATTGACTACTCTGTGCTTCCCACCAACCTACAGTGCCAGCTCCGGTGGGAAGAGTCCCCGTATTTCAGAACTCTGTGTTCTCCCATTGGCGTGACTCTAGCTCCATGCCAACACTGCACCTTCTTAATTACTGTAGCCTAATAATAAGTAATGATGTTTGAAAGGCAAATCTTCTCTTCCTGTGTTTCTTCAAGAGTGTTCTGGTTTCTCTCAGGTCTTTGTACTTTCATATAAATTTTAGTGTCAGTTATCAATCTAGCAACCAACCAACCAAAAACAATCCATTTGAGATTCTGATTGAACTGCATAGAATTCATAAATCATAGATCTAGGAATTCATAGATTTTTTTTTTTGGATTTTAATTTTATTTTATTATGTTAGTCACCGTACATTACATCATTAGTTTTTGATGTAGTGTTCCATGATTGTTTGCGTATAACACCCAGTGCTCCATTCAATACATGCCTTTCTTAATACCCATCACGGGGCTAACCCATCCTCCCACCCCCAAAACCCTCAGTTTGTTTCTCAGAGTCCATCGTCTCTATGGTTCGTCTCCCCCTCCGATTTCCTCCCCTTCATTTTTCCCTTCCTACTTTTTTTTTTTTTTAACATATAATGTATTATTTGTTTCAGAGGTACAGATCTGTGATTCATCAGTCTTACACAACTCACAGCACTCACCATAGCACATACCCTCCCCAATGTCCCAGCCACCCCATCCCTCCCACCCCCCACCACTCCTGCAACCCTCAGTTTGTTTCCTGAGATTAAGACATAGATTTTTGATTAATTGGAATCTTCACAATCTCAGATCTTCCAACTCAAAAGCAGGGTCTTTTGCTCCATTACTTCAGTCTTTGGTGTCTTCTTTAAGGTTTTGTGATTTTCATAAAGATCCGTATTCCTAGGTACTTTTTATTTTTAAGCTATTATAAATGATAGTCCTTTTAAATTTAATTTGCTATCAGTTTGTTGAAGTACAGAAATTTGATAGATTTTTATACCTAAATTTTATACCAGAAAGCCTGCTAAACACTCTTAATAATGTCAATAATTTATCAGCAGTTTCTTTTGGATTTTCTATGTACACAATCACATCATCTGTAGAGAATTTCTTCCTTCTCAATCCCTTTATCTTTAATTTCTTTCTCTTGGCTTACTGGATTGGCCAGAACATTCGGTACAATGTTGAAGAGAAGTGGAGAAAGCAGTCACCCATATCTTGTTCCTAATCTTAAAGAGAATCCTTCAGTATCTCACCACTAAGTATATGTTGGCTGCAGAACTGTTGTACACGTTTTATCAGCTTAAAGAAAATCTTTTATTCTTAGTTTATTAAGGGTTCTTATAAGTAACACTGAATTAAAAAAAATTTTTTTTGGCAGCTATTGAAATAATCATACGACTTTTTCCCTTTGAACAGTTTATTGGAGGAAATATATAATTGGATTGTTTTAATGTTAAACAAATTCCACATCCTGAAATAAAACCAACTTGGTCATGAACGTATTTTACACATTGTTGGATGTGGTTTGATGACATTTGTTCAAGAATTTTACCTGTGAGTGAGACTAGCTTGTTTAATTTGTCAAGATAATTCCAGCTTCGTAAAATGAGGTGAGAATTTCCTCCTTACTACCTAAAATAGAAATTATGTATCACATTGAAATCGACTTATCCTTGAATGTTTTATAGCACATATTCATAAATTTTCCTTGGCCTAGAGATTTATTTGTAGATTTTTCACTCCTATCTTTATGTCTTAAAATAGTTTTCAGGTTTTCTACTTCTTTATTCAATATTGATATGTAATTTTTTTTCTAGAAATGTATCCATTTCATTGAAGTTTAAAAACCTATTGAGGTAAAATTGTTCATAATGTCACTTCTCATCTTTCAGAGTCTGAAGCTTCTGTCCCTTAACTCATAATCGAGTTTATGTCTTCACTTGTTTTTCTCGGTCAGATTTTCACGAGTTTACCTGAAGTTTATAAACTTTTACCTTTATGGATCTTCTATATTTTATCATTCACATCTGTTTCATCATTATTGTTTTTTTCCTTCTACTTTATGTTGTTTTTATAACTTCTTAGAATGGATTCTCATTAATTTTCTGTTTTAAAAAACAAACAAGCATTTCCAATGATAAACTTCCTTCCAATAATATTTTGAATGCATGGTACATGTCGTGCTACATGATTCTTCTATTACTGCTCAGTTCTAAAGATTTTCTAATTTCCATTATAAGTTCCTCTTTGAACTATAAGTTAGATTTTCAAACATTTCCAATTTTTCAAGTTTTTTGTGATAGTTTCTAACTTAATCACATAGTGGACATTTTAGGAAAACCCAGTTTTAAGAAATTTTTGAGACCAACGTCATGGGCCATACATAGGGTCAGGTGTCCTTGAAAAGAATGCTTTACCTCAAACTTTCAAATAATGTTGCTCAGATTTTCGCTATCTTTACGTCAGTTCTAGGACTGAGTCTACCACGTTCCTGGAAAAGGCAGTTGATTCATCAAGTTTTGAACCAGGTCTTTGCGATACAGAATCTTTGCTCTTGATGGTGTGCTCACCAGGGGGCAGGGTGGTCTCTGGTGTGAAGGGATGGTGTTGACCTTCTCTTTACCTTTCTGATTTGAGATCCTCAATGAAGACAGCCAACCACACAGAGGTGACAGACTTTGTTTTCCAAGGTTTCTCCAACTTCCAAGAATATGAACTCATACTCTTCGCTGTGTTTCTGATCGTGTACATCCTAACTCTGGTTGGCAATGTCATCACTGTGACTTTTATCCGTATCAACCATCACCTCCGCACCCCCATGTACTTCTAAGTGTTCTTTCCGCATCAGAGACTTTCTACTCCCTGGTCATTATCCCACGCATGCTTTCCGGCCTCATAGGTCTGAGCCAATCCATCTCCCTGGTGGGCTGTGGGACTCAGCTCTTTTTCTTCCTTGGCTTTGCCATCACCAACTGCTTCCTGCTAGCAGTAATGGGGTTTGATCGCTATGTGGTCATCTGCAACCCACTTCGTTACTCAATCATCATGAATTGGAGGGTCTGTACCATCCTGGCATCCTCGGTCTGTGCCTCAGCATTCTTGCTCACTCTGATTCAGGCTGTGGCCATTTTCAGACTGCCTTTTTGCAACTCCCTGATTGAGGATTTCTTCTGTGATGTTCGGCCTGTGTTGGACCTAGCCTGTGCTGCTCCAATCATTAATGATACCCTGACCTCAATTATCACCCTGTTGGCCCTCACAGCCCCTCCCACCTTCCTCTTCATCTCCTAATCCTCATCATCTCCACCATCCTCAAGATCGCCTCAGCTGAGGGCCGGAAGAAGGTCTTCGCCACCCGTGCTTCCCATCTCACGGTGGTTATCATCCATTATGGCTGTGCCTCCATTGCCTACCTCAAGCCCAAGTCTGAGGACACGAGGGATCAGGATCAGCTGATCTCAGTGACCTACACAGTGGTAACACCTTTACTGAACCCTGTGGTGTATATTCTGAGAAACAAAGAAGTCCAGGGTGCTCTGAGGAATTTGGTGGGTAGGAAATCCCTTCCCTAAGATGAAATCTCTACCCTATAAACAGGCATGCATGTTTTCCAGATGGAAGCTCATAGGTAAAGTTATAGAGCCCAGGTTTCAAGTGATTGGTGAAATCGACATCACAGCTAGAGCCAGAGCAGAAGTGAAGCGAAGCTGGGGACCAGCTTCTAATAATTGATTCTCACTTCCTCAACCTCTTTGTTAACATAATAAAAACATAAGTCACCCTGAAGACTTGTAAAAAGACACCGATTGGCCCTAATCCAGGGGATAATTACAGGGTCAGAGGGTGATCTAGTGTTTATCTCAAGCTCAAATTTAAAGTGACCAGTCCACTTTGCTGAAGTACAAACCACATTAAAGTCATACATGACTGAATCTTCTTTTAACGTCAAGTTGGATGTTTGAACAAGTGGTTACTGGAAACGATACTGTGCCAAAAACTAATCGCCTTGTGTTTTAAAAAGATAAGCAAAGCAAAGACAGAGATATCTTTTAGGAAATGGGTTTGGGATGAGCTAAAAACCTTCTAGAGAGAAGATTTTCTAGCAACCCCCTGCAAATTTCCTGTTACTCACATGTGGGGTACCAAAGGAAAAGGATCTGGGGTAGAGGAGAAGGGGAGTGAAGTACAGAAGACTCCTGGCCACACAAGACAGCCATGGAGCCCTGGCCACGTGAGCAGAGTGCACAGACCTGGTCTGATCCTTTGCTTCTTCAAGCTGAACATAAGCCACATGAAGGCGTCCTTGTGGGGTTGAAAGCAATGGCTCTCCCGTGGACAGGATGACCAGTGGGCTCAGAGGAAAAGCCCACAGAAGGCTCAGGGAACAGACTGCTGAAAAGAATCCTGTGAAACTGACTAACAGAAGAAAAATCAGAGGTGGATCCAAATGAGAGCTTCCAGTCAGAAGAGAGTAGAAGGCAGAAGGACAAGGGGACAGTTGGTGGGGCAAGAATTCGGGAAAAATCCTTTGGACTGGGTCTTCTCCTGCCCTTCCTAAACCAAGTCACAAAGGCAAGGGAAGAGAGTTCAGTGAGAATATGAAAAAGTGTCAACAAAATTCCTTTCTGATGAATTAGGTAATATTACTCCTGAAAAGCTAAAAAAAGTCAGAAGAGGATTTTTGACATGAAAACTTCCATGAGGTTAAAGCAACTGAGTTAGAAATGGAATAATAAAAGACTATTTACCGTTCCTCACGTCAAAAATATAAAAATGAATCAGGGTGAATTTTAGACTCAATTTGTGAGATAAAATTGGTGTTGAATAACATGATGATGATTAGCAGTTGTAACTGCTGAGCAAATCAGAGTTACTACACTGAACTGTTTGTAAAAAGATACACAATATGTGAGTACATGGTATTCTCAATGTGGAATATTTTTGAAATGAAGAAATATCAAAATGTGTAAAGTGATTATGAATTTTATAGGCTAAGTATGCAGATACATATAAACCTAACTTTTAGAAGGTTCTACAATTTAATTAATGTTGTCATTCTGAGCTCCCAATCTGATGGATGGAGGAAATCACCTGGTCCTTTCTATGCAAACTGGGGCAATTTAGTGAATAAGGCACTTTATGAGTAACCATAATTAAATTCAAAGTCCTGCTCCTGCCCCTTCTTCCCCCATTCTCCTTGGGGTGAATCAATCAAGTTCTGGTCAAGTCTTCTAGGGATGCCTGGGTGGCTCAGTTGGTTAAGCATCTGCCTTCGGTTCAGGTCACGATCCCAGGACCCTGGGATCGAGTCCCACATCAGGCTCCTTCCTCGGCGGGGAGCCTGCCTCTCCCTCTGCCTGCTGCTTCCCCTGCTTGTGCTCACACGCTTTCTGACAGATGAATAAAATCTTTTAAAAAAAGTCTTCTAGTTTTCTTGGCATAGAGGGGAAGGAACCTACTTGGTCCATGGAAGGTTTCAACTGCCCCCATGTCGGTTTCTATGAAGATACATGACCCCCAGGAGCCATCTTGGGTGGCATCTATCAAGAGGACTCCGGTGTCATCATGTTCTTTAACCAATGTGGTCCCTGCACCTCATCTTCCTTATGACTTTTCTAGGGCCTCTGGCCCGCCCTCAGCCACTTCTTGAAGACATCTAGGCATTCAGCTGCACCCTGGCCCTGTAATGAATAGGACTCAGTGGGGGTGTCCCCATGCCACCCACCCGGATGCATCACTCACTCATGTCTGCTCCACCAGGATGCCAGCTTTTTCTAAGAAGCTTCTCTGTGAAGTGAGAGCATACCCTTTCTGCTTTTATCATATACCTCACCCTTCCACCCCACAGCAGGACTTAGCTGGCAGGTGCAAGACTGGGTCTTCCCTCATATCCAGCTAATTCTAATGTTGACTCCACAAAGCTGGATGCCTTTATTTTGTTTTGGCAGAAAAACCTGAATTCTTCCTAACTCTACAATTTGCATCGTACATTTCACATATAAAGTACTTCAATCCTTAAGCTTTTGATATTCAAAATTATTTGTAAGCTAAAAGAGGCTTTCCTCTCTGGAAAAGTTTGCTAAAGTTAAAAACCATTTCAGCTTTTAAGACAAATGTTTTAGTTATGAGTTTTAAAAAATCTTTTTGAAATTCAATTGACTTTTCTTCTGGGTTCTTTTAGGTTTGCCCTGGGGCAAATGAAAGTCCTGTGAAACAATGAGGAATGTAGAATGTGAAAACAATGTAGAATTTTTATTCTGTTGCATTTATATATTTATTCTACATGTCAACATTAATTATGGATTTTTTTAATGTTTTATTTGCTAGAACTAGTTATCTGCCATTATTCTTTAGAATTTTTTGGGATGTTTTGCTTGTTTAAATGTTTCACATAAATTTTAGAAGCAGCTTGTTCAATTTACAGCCCCCACCCCCACCCAAAAAAAAAAACCCAAAAAACGAAAACACACAGCATTCTCAACACAGTTAAACCCATATAAGCAAACCACACTCTGGTACTATTTTACTATAATCCTACTGCATTTATAATTTATGGAAAATTGACATCTTAATGATCTTGAATCTCTGTATTCAAAAACAGTGTTATTTTCCATTGGCTCAAGTCTCCTTTTAAATCAGGAAATTTTACATTTTCCTATAATCGTTTTCTAAAAGTTCTATAGTTTTATGTTTTACATTTAAGTGATCTCTTTTGAGTTAGTTTGTTTAAAGTGTGAAGTTTAAGTCAAAGTTTAATTTTTGCTTTCAGGTAGCCAATTACTCCAGCCCTATCTTCTTTAAAGGTGATCATCCTCCATTGAATTGAATTTGCACATTCGTCAAAAGTCCATTGAGCAGATTTCTATGGCTCCATTTCTGGGTTTCTTTCTGGTCCAGTGATCTGTGTGTCTACTTCTCCAATACTGCACCATCCTGATTAACACAGCTATACAGTAAGCCTCAATATTGAGTCAGGTGAGTCTTCCCACTTTATTCTTTGTCAAGATTGTTTTAGTTATTCTAAGTCCTGTGTATTTCCATACCAATTTTAGAATAAGCTTATGTCTACAGAAAACCTTGCTGGTATTTCATAGGAATTGCATCAAATTTATAGATGAATTTAAGGAGAACTGACAACCTTACGATGTGGAGTCTTCTAATCCATGAACACAATAGGTTTCTCTATTTAAATCTTGATTTCTTTTATCAGCATTTTGTAATTTTCAGCATGCAAATCTTACATTTTATACCTAAGCATTTCATTTTTCTTTGGAGAAATTGTAAATGATACCGTGCTTTTAATTTTGGTTTCCACATGTTCAGTGTTAGTTTACAGAAATATGATTTTCATGTGTTGATATTATATGTTGTGACTTTAAGTCACTAGTTCTAGGTGTCTTTGGGGGGGGGTGAGACAATTATCAGTTTTATTTCTTCTTTCTGATCTGTATGCTTTTCTTTCTCCTGCCATATTGCACTGACTAGAACTTCCATTACTATGATAAATAAGAGTGGTGGGAGCAGACATTCTTGCCTTGTTCCTGATTTTTTTTGGGGGGGGGGGGCAAAGGGATGGAAGCATTCAGTCTTTACCATTAAGGATGATGCTTTCTATAGGCTTTTTGGACATGTTCTTTATCAAATTGAGTTAACTTGCAAAGAATTTTTGTCATGAGTGCTAGATTTCATCAAGTGTTTCTCTATGTCAGTTGATATAATTATATGACCTTTCTTCTTTAGTCTGGTAATATAGGGGATACCATTGCCTGATTTGTGACTATTGGTCTAGCTTTACATTCCTGAAGTAAATCCAATTGTTCACAATGTGTAATGCTTTTTATACATTGTTGGATTTGGTTTGCTAATATTTTGCTGAGGATTTCTGCATAAGTTCATGAGAGATGCTGATCTGTAGTTTTATTTGTACAGCCTTTACATGGTTTAGGTACCAGGATAATAATACTGGCCTCATAAATTATGGACTCAAAGTGAGTTGATCAGTACTCTACCCTCCTCTGTTTTCTAGAAGAGACTATTCATACTTAATGCTAATTTTTCTTTTATAGTTTGACAAATTCTCCAGGGAAACCAACTAGGACTGGAGATTTCCTTCTCATAAGTTTTTAAATTATGAATTCAA